TTGTTATAAATGTTGAAAATCTTTCTAATAAATGATTGAATCGAATTTATTTCACATTGTATATGATCTAAATCTATTAATGCATTAGTAAATTTAAATAAATCCTAAAAATTAGATTTGCCGCGTAACATATTTAAGTACTCAACATACAGAAACAGAACACGGAAACAGACACAGGCGTAATGATGTTGATGTCGTTACTGGTTTAATTTAAAAAGTCAATATACTCGAGAATAATACAAGGAATAAAAATTTAGCTGCGTTAAGCTTACGAAGTTTAGAATGAAGAAAGAATAGTTTTGTCACTTGTATTTTATTCGACGTGAAAAGAGAGATGTTAAAAAGTTGAAAGTATACTAGTTGTATTTTCGATTATCTCAGATTGGAGACAGACAGTACGTATAAGACAATTAGTGATGTGCCGGATAACCGTATCCGTATCCGCAGATATCTGAGGGAAAAAGATCCGTATCCGTTACTTTTTAACGGATCTTTAACGGATTTTTTATCTTAATGAATTTCATTACTTATATGAAATTTTAAAGATAAGTAGCAATAAAATACTAATAACTTCAATTCAAATCACTTTTTATTTATTAAAATCACATATTTGGCACTTTCATATTGCAAAAATTAAATATTTAAACATCAATTATAGTAAGTTACCAGTATAAGGTATTAATTTAACTATCTTTATAGTGAAATCAAACCTCTAATGCTAATTGAAATAATCATCACGGTTATATTATATTATAATAATTATCAAAGAATTTTAATTATCAAATTATCAGATAAAATAATCACAATTTTAGAAACTTCAAAAAAATTAAATGTCATAATCAAAATTAATTAATGGTAAATTGTACTTCAAAAAGAGTAACTTGGCAGCTTTATCCCCCAAAAGTCTATTACGATGAGGATCGTAAATAATTCCTGCTGCACTGAAAAACTGCTCACTTGGAACGCTTGTTGCAGGTGATGATAAATATGTGCGAGCCATGTGACTAAGACCTCCAAATTTTTTACTATTAATCTCCCAATACATTAATGGATCTTGGTCTCTTGATAATCTTTTTTCTGTGGCATATTCTGTGAGCAAATTAGCATTAGTGTATGATATTTGGTTTTCAGATTTCTCATCTTCATCATCACTATCTAACATATTAGCTATAGAGTCTTCTAAATTGTTGCAATATTCTTTTCTTACAGCATTTGGTTTTTCTGTGATAGTTGTAGTTGTTGTGATATTTACTTCTGTTTCTAAAGCTGTAAGTAATTTCTGTTTTATATTTTTGATAAAAAAATCACTGAAAAATTTACCTTTGTAACGTGGGTCTAAAAATGTTGCTATTTGGAACAACATATTTTTGTCGATTTCAGAAAAACGATAATCTAATTCATTCTTTAAAGAAGACAAAAAATCAAGAACGGCAGGTGTGCTGATGTTGAGAGTTTCCCCACTATTAGCAGAAATTTGAATCCCGTCATACAATTTATTTAATGCTCGTACTAGAGGAATAACGTCGGATATACATATGTTTTGTGCGCTCAATTTTTTGTGGTAACCTCCACAGGCTTCAGAACTCACTAATTCTTGAATTAAAATCCACTCTTCGGCATCAAACTGTTCTATTTTATTATTAGTAGAATAAAGCGACAACGAATCCTTAATGCAATCAAGTCTTTCCAACATATAATAGCTGGAATTCCAGCGGATCTTGCAAAACTTTTAAAACTCTTTGATTGAGTCGAACTTGTATTTTTTCTAATTCTTGCTTTGCCATTGTAGAATGGTTGAAATGTCCTGCAATTTTTCTGCATTTTGTAAGAACATGGATATTGCATCAACATTTTTAATTGCTTCTTTGACTACCAGATGCAGTTGATGTACTGTACAGTCGATATTATTTATGTCAGATAAAGTGCAGGCACACTTCATGTTGGATCCCCCATCTCTTACTATGCAGTGCACATTCTCTTTTTGGGATTACCCACTCTTGGAGCATACGTTGAAATATTGCCGAAATGTAATCTCCCGTGTAGCGTTCGTCAAGAAACTCCGCTTTCAAAACGATATTTTTTCTTACAAAATCTTTTATAATACCATGAAATGTTAAGGATAATAATGAAACTCCCGACGAAGAATCTGACCAGATATCTGATGTAAAAGAAACTTTCTTAAATTCCTTAAACATGATCTTTATTTTCGATGACACTTTATCGTAAAGTTCGCTGCAAACAAGTTCCGTAAAATATTTCCTGCCTTTTAAAACATAATTTGGAACAGCATGATTTAACAATCGTCGGAACCCCAATCCTTCTATGTGTTAAAAAAATAAATCAGATAAAGCTATCATTTCTGCTATTAAATAGTCAATTTTTATTGATTTGGGGTTTGTATAATCCCACATTTTGAGTTTTTCTATGTTTTCGTTAAAAAATGTTTGTCTAAATTCTCTTTTTACCGTTTGCAAAGATGTTCCCTGTTGAACGTTTTCGTCGGCACTCTTCTTAGCGGAGTCTTTTTTTAAGAATAAAGCATATTCTTGTGGATGTTTCCTCTGAGGATAATTTTTTAACGATGTTGTATCTTTATCCTTACGGGAATACTTTCCTTCACAAATTTTACATTTAGCTCAACACTCTCCAAAAACACAAACGTAATCTACGCTATTCCGTGTCACACTAGCCACAAACCAGTGTTTCCCAACGTGGGGCCCACGCCCCACAGGGGGCAATTGGATTGCTAAGGAGGACAATTCGAAAATGGACTTGTCCAGAGTTTAAGTTAACCGTATAGCCGCTGTATATGTTAGAGATACATAAGAATTTTAGAAAGACAGGTGGGGCATAGCACAAAAAAGGTTGGAAAACACTGCACTAAACTATTGTGGCGGTACGCTATATTTTTCTAAATATTAATTTTAGTTTAGTTTCGTGTCTTCTTTCTACCCTTTGTTCTATTATTCTATTTTCTTCTAGAACTTTCTTATCTATTCCCTGTCCCTTGGGTGGGATGAGCAGTTCCTAGAAATTTGAGGAGCAAAGGTGTAAGCAGGAGCCGGAGAGAAAAAAGAAGTGACGTAGCAGGTCATTCATAAACCGGACGGCAGAGTGTACGGACGAGGTGAGAATACTGGGAGTCGTATTTTCAATGACCGGATAGTTCAGAAATAAGTTCAGAAAAAAGATCATGTTTTAAGGTCGTATTGACGACCGTGGAAGGAAAAATCCTCATTATTGAAGAAGAGAACTGGCCAGTTATAGGAGAAGGACGTGTGTTATCCCACCCAACAGTACGCATAAAGAAACAAGCCGAAAATAAGGGACAAAACCCCAGATATCCCTATTTCTATCTTATCTACCATTTTTAATGTCTTCTTAATTCTATTCCTTTTTCTGTTATTAGTGTTAAGTTAGTGTTTAAGGTTAGTTTTATGGTTTCGGGTTATATTGTTGCGATCGAATTCTGTATTGAACACGTGCTTTAAATACAGCGAACTATTATTATCGTTGTAATTTCGCATGCTACTGTTTGTACCGTGAAGTTGGAATCCCCCGAAATAGAATCTGTATAAAGACGCGAAATAGCTTAATTGGAAAATTATATCAACTTTTGTTACTTTATCCTGTCTGCCTTTGTGGTGAATTTTAATTTAGCACATTTTTACACTATAAACAAAAACACGCGCAGTGCAAGTCAAAACACGTCGCGTTACTAACGCAAAGCGTCAACTATTGGTCCAAGGTCACACGCACCGGCGCCGACTGAGTACGAAAGTTAAGATTCGTATCCGTATCCGTATCCGCGGATCTAGACACTAATGATCCGTATCCGTATCCGCGGATATACATTTTTAACGATTTGGCACATCACTAAAGACAATATTCAATTCTCCCAACACTTTCTTTAAAGTGTAGGGATAATAGAAAGAAACCTATAAAAAAGTTTTGTATATACTGTACTTTCTGAGAATTTATTGCATATTAAACGGATACTTTTTCAACTGACTTTAATATTACTTTTATATCTGATGATAATTTAATTTCTGTAACGTTATGTAAAGTGTCCATGTCATGTCATTCACTAAATATGTTATTAGGGGCAGACAAATGAAAACGAGACAGACTATATAACAAGTGTGGCAGTGAACTTGGTAGGCGTGTATATAGAAGTGCCCTCTATTGGGAGTTAGGAAGAAACAGCGTGAATGTTCACCGCTGTGCCATTTGTCTGTTAGACGCGCTCGAAGTAAGGTTGGCGAGTCATGTGTGCATCAAACATCACTATGGAGGTCTTCTGCTTGTTGACTTTCTGGAACACGGCGCCACAATTAACGAACAGCGATACATAGAAACTTTGCAAAAATTGAAGCGTACCATCAAATTCAAACACCCAGGAATGTTGACAGACAGCATCATTCTGTTGCAGGATAATGCTTACCCACATGTTACCAAGCTTATTTTGACTACGTTGCAGAAGTTTTGTCCCAAATAGTAGTAGGTCCCAGCGACATAGTCTTGTCTCAAATACGGTTTTGCCGTTTTACTTGTTTTNTGTGTTATCCCACCCAACAGTACGCATAAAGAAACAAGCCGAAAATAAGGGACAAAACCCCAGATATCCCTATTTCTATCTTATCTACCATTTTTAATGTCTTCTTAATTCTATTCCTTTTTCTGTTATTAGTGTTAAGTTAGTGTTTAAGGTTAGTTTTATGGTTTCGGGTTATATTGTTGCGATCGAATTCTGTATTGAACACGTGCTTTAAATACAGCGAACTATTATTATCGTTGTAATTTCGCATGCTACTGTTTGTACCGTGAAGTTGGAATCCCCCGAAATAGAATCTGTATAAAGACGCGAAATAGCTTAATTGGAAAATTATATCAACTTTTGTTACTTTATCCTGTCTGCCTTTGTGGTGAATTTTAATTTAGCACATTTTTACACTATAAACAAAAACACGCGCAGTGCAAGTCAAAACACGTCGCGTTACTAACGCAAAGCGTCAACTATTGGTCCAAGGTCACACGCACCGGCGCCGACTGAGTACGAAAGTTAAGATTCGTATCCGTATCCGTATCCGCGGATCTAGACACTAATGATCCGTATCCGTATCCGCGGATATACATTTTTAACGATCCGGCACATCACTAAAGACAATATTCAATTCTCCCAACACTTTCTTTAAAGTGTAGGGATAATAGAAAGAAACCTATAAAAAAGTTTTGTATATACTGTACTTTCTAAGAATTTATTGCATATTAAACGGATACTTTTTCAACTGACTTTAATATTACTTTTATATCTGATGATAATTTAATTTCTGTAACGTTATGTAAATTGTCCATGTCATGTCATTCACTAAATATGTTATTAGGGGCAGACAAATGAAAACGAGACAGACTATATAACAAGTGTGGCACTGAACTTGGTAGGCGTGTATATAGAAGTGCCCTCTATTGGGAGTCAGGAAGGAACAGCGTGAATGTTCACCGCTGTGCCATTTGTCTGTTAGACGCGCTCGAAGTAAGGTTGGCGAGTCATGTGTGCATCCAACATCACTATGGAGGTCTTCTGCTTGTTGACTTTCTGGAACACGGCGCCACAATTAACGAACAGCGATACATAGAAACTTTGCAAAAATTGAAGCGTACCATCAAATTCAAACACCCAGGAATGTTGACAGACAGCATCATTCTGTTGCAGGATAATGCTTACCCACATGTTACCAAGCTTATTTTGACTACGTTGCAGAAGTTTTGTCCCAAATAGTAGTTTGTCCCAGCGACATAATCTTGTCTCAGATACGGCTTTGCCGTTTTACTTGTTTTCTGATTAACGTAGTTCATTACGTAAGAAACCTAATTATTAAATTCTATTTAATATTACATTTATTTGAAAATTAGGAATGTAAATTAGTTACATTAGATAAGCGTTCATTAGGTTTGAGAGTCACTGTAAATAAATTAGCCAATTTTTTTTGTTTTTTTTTGTTTTTTGTAATACCAACATCCATATACAAACACCTGTCATTTTAATGAGCCGTTTACCTTGTGACGGAAAATGTGACGTTCACTGATTCTAATAAAGATTAGGAGTCTTCGATTGCAAGAATGATTCTCGGCACCACAGAAAGATTGATTGAGACCTCCAAAAATTGACCTAATTATCCAAAGTGAATGCCATAAAAAATCTAAAATTTTAATATATTTTACATCCTTCAACTAAAATTACTTAAATTATAATAATCGTGATTAAAATCTTGGTATTACAATAAAGAACCGTGATTTCATACTCTTCAATATATAAAATTTTGTGGACTCAGTAAAACTCATACATAGTTATTTACCCATTTTTTATAAGAAAAAATCAATTACAACGGCCCATTAAAAAGCACTAAGACTTTCAGTGTAGTCCACCTGCGGATAGGATTGAAATCTCTGATGTAAAACAATACTATCAACCAAAAACGATTAAATGCCAAATTATAACAAAGCCGGTTTAATACAATAAATTTATTCCCACCACACAAAAACCATTATTGTAGTGCAGGGAATCAAATAGTCGTGCTCTATACGAGAATACTCTATTTTGCTTGGAATGATTGATAAATAGGACTGTAAAAAGTTATGAGTAACGTATTTCACTAAAGGAAACACTTCTCTAAATGCTCGAGTTGTTGGATC